CATGGAAAACTGCACTGAAGATTGCTCAGGACAGCAGAGCATGGAAAGTCCTCTCTGAAGACTTATGTGCCCCTAGTCATAACGAGAACTGATGATGACTGATGTTTCTGAGTCCCTACTCTCTATCTATCTATCTATCTATCTATCTATCTATCTATCTATCTATCTATCTATCTATCTATCTATCTATCTATCTATCTATCTATCTATCTATATCTATCTATCTATCTATCTATCTATCTATCTATCTATCTATCTATCTATCTATCTATCTATCTATCTATCTATCTATCTATCTATCTATCTATCTATCTATCTATCTATCTATCTATCTATCTATCTATCTATCTATCTATCTATCTATCTATCTATCTATCTATCTATCTATCTATCTATCTATCTATCTATCTATCTATCTATCTATCTATCTATCTATCTATCTATCTATCTATCTATCTATCTATCTATCTATCTATCTATCTATCTATCACACACACACATGCACGCGCGCACAGTCCACGCAATACGCCGACTAATACTTACATGAACACTGAAACGCAAACATAAAACACATCTACACACATACATACATACATACATACACACCAGATAAACGCATTATATATATATATATATATATATATATATATATATATATATATATATATATATATATATATATATATAGATATATATATATATATATATATATATATATATATATATATATATATATATATATATATATATATATATATATATATATATATATATATATATATATAATCACTTTAACGCTCAAATGCACTCAGAAACAGTCACAGACAAGTTAAGGCAAATATCCACGCAATCATGCTCAGAAATATACGTATAATAATAGAGATGCCTTTATAACATATAAAGACATGAAATATCGAGTTCTTACTGAGGGAACGCTAATAGGTACTTTTAAAAAAAAAAAAGTCTGTCGCCTCTCCTTATTTTACTGGCTCTAGACTAGATTATGAAGACCGAAAATGCTAACACCAAGAATGGAATTTAGTGGACACCTACAAAACAGCTTGATGATCTGGACTTCGTTGATGACATTTCTCTTCTCTCCCATTCACGGAATCAGATGCAAGATACATTTAAAATACTTCATGCGATATCACAGCAGCTAGGTCTAAAAATCCATAAAGAAAAGACAAAGATAATAAGAATAAATCACGCAAATAGTAATGTGGTTTTACTTAATGGCACCCCACTCCAAGACGTAGAGTCGTACACCTATTTGGGCAGTAATGTAGATAAAGATGAGGGAACATAACTAGAATGTCTTCGCATTGGAACCCACAGCGGCATACGAATAAAGGAAGGCTAAAAAAACACATGTATAAGAGAGCTGGAGAATGAAGTTATAAAGATGGGGAGGACATGGGAAGAGCTCCATGAAATAGTGAACGATAGAACGACTTGGCGTGAGTTGATTGAGGGCCTATGCTCCATTAGGGGGATAGAAAGCCAGAAGAAGAATAAAGATGAATGAAGAATAAATGATAGAAATGCACGTATTGTAGTGAAAATCAAAACACTGAAACTATGAACGCTTACAAATGCACTGTCTTAAGTTGTGTATTCTTCTATTGGTGCACTAGGGCCAATTTACTGCTACACGAATAATTCAATTACATAAATGTAGCCAGACAGCAAAAGCTATTTAGATTTAAATGAAAAACCTGGCCAGTGGAGATCAGAATTGACCCCAAAAAAAGTCTTGTCTAGCCTGAATCGGTCAAGGTGGCTGTACTTGACTGAACTTAGTCTCAACGCAGCGCAGATGTGTGTCAGACGGGCCGGCAGAGGGACGGTAGACTGGTTGATTTCATGGCGGTTAGTTTCGCTTAGACATATATTTCCTCTAGTAGTTAAACTGTGTGGGTAGATATATCGGTGTGTATCATCGCTCGGAGATATGTGATGTCATGTCGCTAGAAGCTAACTTTCGTTTATGTTAGTTGGTATTTTTAAACGCGTGGCCTGTGTAGACACATTGTTGGTCGCTAATTTATTGTTTTTTTTTTTTTTTTTTTTTTTTTGTGAACCACGCTGATTTATGTTAGTGAAATAAACAGATGTTCAATGTGATAATTATAGTTCCAGTTGTTTGATTCGGATTAGAACATGTGGTTGGTATGTCTAGATTTACTGTTACTGCTATCTAGACTTGATACAACATTTCCTGTCAGGGTAAGAGAAGCTGGTCTTTGCCTCACCTTACAAACTTTTTTTTTTAAACTGAGGCAGCTTAAGCGTGATTTTGCTTCCACTAGCCACAACGTTAGAGCAACAGTAGGTTTGGAGAAGAGATAGGTTCAAGAAGTCGATTTTCATATTATCCTTCATAATTATTTCTCTCCCCTTTCCTTTTACACAAGATCCCCTTTGGCTTAGTTTCTAGACATAAAATATAATCACATAGGCAAAGCTAAATGCTACAGAAAGAGATAAACTATAGCTGTAGTTCTCAACCACAATTCAAACGCTAGACTTAAAAAAAAACATAGAATATTTATACAAATAAACAAACGCAGAAGTCTACATAAATAACAGCAGAACAGCTGTATACAACTGTACCTGAAGCAAACTTCTACGCAAATAACAGCAGAATAGCTACACACGACTTATACTTGAAGTAAACCTTTACACAAATAACCGTAGAACAGCCATATACAATTATACTTGAAGCAAATTTCTACATAAATAATAGTCGCACAGTTTATACAAAACTAGACGTAAAGCAAATTCTACACAAGTAACAGTAGAACATGTATACACAATTATACTTGAAGCAAATTTCTACATAAATAATAGTAGCACAGTTTATACAAAACTTGTCCCAAAGCAAACTTCTACATAAATAACAGTAGAACAGCTTATACACAACTTAACATGTAGCAAACTTCTACATAAATAACAGTAGAACAGCTTATACACAACTTAACATGAAGCAAACTTCTACATAAATAACAGCAGAACAGCTTATACACTACTTAACATTAAGCAACCTTCTACATAAGAAACAACGAATATTTTCACAGTTATACGTATCTGGCAAAAAATAGAATTCTGAATCATTTTTTTTTTAAAATCAAGTTATGTATTTTTGGATTCTGATGTAATTTTGGTTTTAACACGAAAGTTAAATGTATTCTAAGCCTAAAGAAACTGACAAACAGAACATGGGATACATTCAAGAAAGGTGAAGAAGAAAGAGAATGTTTCCCTAACGGCTTGTTTTAACACTTGCAAGACAGGATAGATGGCAAAATGTTTCGCACATATTAAAGAAAATTTGGCTGGAGACAGAGAGACTTTTGAGCGTGTTGTGAAGAGAGAAATGTTCTGTAAAGTACCTGCCGACTGATCATCACTGAGAAGTTGTCAACCGAGAATCACTAAATAAATCGCCTGCAGATCTGACGGTTGTAAACTGAATATTTTCAAACCTGGCTATGGCTCCCAGATCGATCTAGCCTTACATGGGTACCAGTTCCTTTCCTAGTAAGAAAAGGCGGCCGGCGTGATGTTGACAACATCATCCATTGAGTACCGATTGGTCTATAAATATAGACCTAGCACTAAATGCCTATGTGTCGTTAAGAATGGTCCTTTATATTAGTCACGAGCCGCCACTGACTGCGAGTCGTGTGTGACCTATAATGAAATATATAATACGATGGTGATGATGACGATACGTAACGCTCTAGATCAATGTTCTTCAACCAGTACACCCGCGTCCCACTAGTGATTCGCAGAAAAGTCCCGGTGTGCTGCCAAAATTGTCCGCCCAATTATGTAGCGGGTTAAGGTAGGTTCTCACTTCCAGGATTGCAATTTTTAGTATTAACACTTCAGTTATGAGAATCAAACGATTAGAAAACGCGAAAACCTCGTGGGTGAGTGACGTTCAACCACACTAGGACCGTACAACGAGCGATAAACACCCGGGGACACAAACTGCCACCATTCTGATGAGAATCCCCCGGCAAAAGTTCCAGATACCCAGTTTAATCGTCAGCGTATATGAGGGTTCCCGATCACAGTCGGGGTGTGGGTTGTAAAATTACAAATAAAACATATTGCGCCCCATATCGGAAAAACCCCGTTAAACCAATTCAAGTGATATTAGACACGACGTCCTCCAGCTTTTAATTCGGTTCAAGTACCGAATTCAGGCACAAACAGACCGTGATTGGCTGTTTATGCATGCGTCTTAACCTTTGAGACCCGTGGTCTAAGCTAAAGGGGTGTCATGTTGTCTTCTGCTACCTTTCCCGCTTAGTGACCGGCCAGCAAATCTTAGAATATTTCTCGTTATTGTCTGCTGACGGCAATTTTACGTGTTCTATATTCCAAGATGTGAGCGTAATTAACGTTCCCAAAACTTGTAGAACTGGCTCTAACCCCAACCCCCTAACCCACAGCCTCAGCCTAGGTCCAACGACTGCATGCAGTCTGTAATATATGCTGTATACAGACGTGCTACCTACGCTTTATGCAGTCGTGGGACCTAGTCTGAACTGTGGGGTGGGGAGGGGAGTTAGAATTAGGGCCCGTTCTATATGTTTTGGGACCGTTAAATTCAATCACACTGGAATAAACAACACGCGATATCGCAGGCCGATGACAACGGCGAGATAAATACTATGTTTTTTCTGGCCGGTCACTAAGGTAGCAGAAGACAACCTGACACCCCCGAAGCATAGGACACCCTGAGACGCAACCAGTCATGGTATGTTTGGGACCATCTTTGTTATTTGAACCTTTAATTCTACAGGTGGCTGTGTATTATAGGGTACCCAACGGTTACGTAAATGGGCGGTTAGAACGGTTACCTATTTGTGTTTTGTTAGTCGTCAGTTAGGCCATGCAAATATTGCCCCTGTTTTTGGTGGATCACGGTTATCAATAGGTTGAGGAACACTGCTCTAACTAAATAATAACTCAAATGTGTCTACCTAAGGAAATGATAGAAGCGAGTCAGTAGGCTTCAGAGGTGCGTTGCAGTCGTTGCTGCTGCAGCAGTACCCACAGGAGACATGGCTGGCTGTGTTCAGAACTGGGTCGTCGCATTCTCTTTTGGTGCTGGTAAGTTCGTATTCCAGGGTGCAGAAATCTGCTGTTGCACAACTGTTGAGCACAAAGATTAATTTGTAAGTGAAAGACTGTTGACATTATTGTTATTCAAAACTGTGTATAAGTCAAAATTTTAAGAGCTTATATCTAACCTGTAGCAAGATATGGATGTAAGTGGTCAACTATCTCGTAATTGTTGTGGAAGAAAATATTGGTTTCTCAGTTGAAATGCAGCAGAAAGATTCTTGGAACACCATAGGTCTAGAACAGAAGAAATGCCGATATTATTAAAGATCTAATATCTATGAAAATTGGCTCGTTTACAGAATCTTGTCTTGGAAACTGAAATGTTTTCGCCATTTAATAATTTGCAATGGCTTTGGGGAAAACAACTGTAAATGAGGGCATGGTTTTGAGTAAGAGAAGCCGACCAGTATAACGGTGGACAACAACATAAGAACAAACTGAACAGGAAAAGGCATCAGAAAGGAGACGAGATGGAAGCGACTCTCTTTAAAGTATCTATTACTTGATGAGTATGATCATTATGATTATGATGATGACGATTATGATGATGGTGATGATGATGGTGATGATGATGAAGATGTGATTCTGTATATTAACCTGTTTTGATTATTACAGGTCCAATGTTTGACAGGTTTAGGAACACTGCAGCAAACAGAAGTTATATGTTTAAAATGGGTACAAAGTGAGCCGGGTGATGTTGATTAATTCACTTATCAAGTGCTGATTTATTTTTAAAATATACATCTAGTAATCTGGTAATCTTAGTTTCCGCTTCATAGCAAATGGTTTACCCCATAGTTACTTCACTCCTGTGCCAACGAAAAATACACAGAATGTTTATCACAGTCCCTTGTGGAAAGATTTACAGACTGCTGTCTCAGCATATGCACTAGCATACACACGCATTAAAAGCACACGGTAGCCATCTGAAGTGCTAACACAAACAGTTCGACATTAGAAATGCAGTTAATCATGGATGGTAGCAGAAATCACCAACAGATCAGAAGTTGCACACGCGATCAATTTAAATCACATAATGGCACCACCACTATTGCGACAACAGGCATCGCGCCATTTTCTGAATCTATAATTAACACTACTACGTTGGTCACAGTCGAAAAACCTTCCAAATGAAATCTGCAGCTCACAGTGTCACACCATACACTCAACTCAGAAGCTAGGCGACGAACCTATTTTTTTCAGTCTACAAATGGAGCAAAAATGCAACGGCCACCGTCTGTCAGAAGAAAAAAATTTGCTCCGACTTAAAACAGTGGCTGTGCCTAGCGTCCATTTTGACCGGATTATATATATATATATATATATATATATATATATATATATATATATATATATATATATATACATACATATATATAGTCTAGCATCGTATGCCTTATGGGGTAGTGGCAGGGGAATAGTACATTACTACATTCGTTCCTTTCTTCTCTTCCCCCAATTATTTTGTCTCAGTATGTGTTCATAAACGAGAATTAAAATGTTATATCGAGCCTGTTCTGTTGTATGGTAATGATCTTTGAATGTGAGCAAACAAATTAAGAAGTGTTTTGAGGCAACTGAGATGTGGTTATTGAGAATACCTTGGACCGCCTGCATAACCAACACTGAATGCTTGGAAATGACTAATGAAAGTAGAAAATTATATACACCAATGAGAAGGGGACAACGTTCTTTGGTCATTTGATGAGAAAAGGATCACTGGAAAATACTGTTACGACTGGAAAGATCGCTGTTAGAAGAAGCAGAGAAGGTCAAGAGAAATGATGGTGGATGGCTTAAGACAGTGGCATGGAGGAATATCATCAGTGGAATTGATGCAGAACACCAGTGATAGAGCTCTGTGGCTACCCATGAACGTCTACGCCATCTGGTAAGGCACTTAATGATAATGATGATAATGATGATGATGATTATGATGTGTGTTCGTGTGTGTTGGAGACGGATAATGTAAACAAGCACTTTTGTGTGTAATTTCCAGTCAGTTGCACAAGCTGGCTTATATTAAACTGGCTTGTTGTCATGTTTTAGCTCAAACTAAAATGGGTACACTGTGTCTAGAGGTCTAGTGCTATGGACATTTTTTAAAAATGATATACCAACCACTTCTAGACGAAGGTGTCAGTGCCGTTCTGTGTAAACTGATACTGACAGTACGAGAGAAACATGTAAACAGTTATCGTTAGTGTGATGGATAAATGAACAAATGATATACCAACCACTTCTAAACGAAGGCTTCAGTGCCGTTCTGTGTGAACTGATGCTGACAGTACGAGAGAAACATGTAAACAGTTATCGTTAGTGTGATAGACAAATGAACTAATGATAGACCAACCCCTGGAAGACAAAGACATCCATGCGATTTTCTGCGAATTGACGCTAACTGCGAGATCAAGAAGGAGCCACCCTGGTGTAGCAGAAAATCTCTCGCCTGCGGATCCGACGGTCGTGGGTTGAGGCTCTGAGATTTTTTATTTAAAAAAATGAGCACCCAGGTCGACTTGACCTTAAATGGGTACCAGGTAAAGTCACGTGAATTAAATGTCGTTGGTGTCATGTTGACCTCATCGCCAACCGAGTCCGATTTGTCTTTATGCTTAATAGGCCCGAAGGCCTGGGAAAGGGTCATATACTTTCATTTTGTATATATTAAATATTAAATATATATGTCTGTGTGTGTGTGTATATATATATTTATATACACACATACACACACACACATATATATATATATATATCTCCAGTCAACCAGGGATCGTGAGCTGTGGAGACGCATGAGCGCCTACGCCAATTGGCATGGCACATGCTAATGATAATGATATAATATATATATATATATATATATATATATATATATATATATATATATATACAGTGGAACCTCGCTTAATGAGCACCTCTCATAACGAGCAATTAGCATAACGAGCAAAACAAATTGTAAAAGAATGACTTGCTTAACGAGCGACGTTTCGCATAACGAGTGGCCAGGAGAGGGGGAGTTCCAGACTCTTACATCAGTCTGTGTTTAGCACTCATTAGCATCGTAGTGTCGCTTGTGATCACACATTTTCTCAGACTTGTGTATATTGTGATATATGTACATGAATCCTTCAGGCCTACAAGATGACCTCCCTGAAGAAATTAAGTTCATCAAGATCCAGTTTTTGCCTCCGGACACTACTTCGTTACTCCAGCCCATGGACCAGCAAGTTATTTCTAACTTTAAGAAGCTCAACACTAAAGCACTCTTCGAGCATTGTTTTCAGGTGACTGAAGTGACCAACGGTCAAGCTCACTCTCAAAGAGTTTTGGAAAAATCACTTTCACATCGTTGCCTGCCTCAGAATGATCGACAAGGCGGGGCAAGGGGTTACCAAGAGAACCCTAACTTCTGTTTGGAAGAAGCTTTGGCCGGAGAGCGGTGTCGATTTGTGACTTTGAGGGGTTCGAGGCAGTACATGTGGAACCTGTAGTTAACAAGATTGTGTCTTTGGCCACTATTATGGGATTGCAGGTGGATAACAGTGATATCGAAGAGCTTGTGGAAGAGCACAGGAAAGAGCTGACTACCGAAGAGCTTATGGAGTTGCATTGTGTTTCACAGCAAGAAGTTTTGGAGGGAAGTTTGTCAGAGGAGGAGGAGCAGGTAACAGAAAAGCAACAATCTTCTGGCGAAATAAGAGAAATCCTGAAAGCATGGGAAACAGTTGCATCTTACATTGAGAAGTATCACCCTAATAAGGAAATGGCTATGCGTGCTGCAAATTTATTTAATGATAATGCTGTGTCGCATGTTCCCCAAATTTTACAGAGTTGGCATCTTTCTAGTAAAAAAAATAATTAGCTATGTATCATAATTATTTCGACTTTTTTTTTCTTCTGCAAATCGAATTCGAATTCCAGGTTGGTTCGTTCTGCGTTTGAAGAAAAGATGAAGATGATTCACTCTCCTTAGCAATATGTATATTACTTTCTTTGAATAAACGTAATTCATAACATTTTGTGAGTATTTTTTTTTTTTTTTTTCGGTAGGGAACGCATTATCGTATTTCACATTATTTTATCTGAGAAAAAACTGTTTCGCATAACGAGTATTTCGCTTAACGAGTATGATTCTGGAACAAATTATTCTCGTTAAGCGAGGTTCCACTGTTTATATATATATATATACAATAGAAAGATGTAAGAAAGTGTCTTAGTCAATGGACAAAAGCACACACAAAAAAAGAATATACCAACCCCTTATAGATCGAGATATCAGTACTATTCTTTGCGAAACGTGAAAAACAATAAGGTAGGTGATTCGGGCACGCTTCTGGTTGGTTCAGTACGTGGTCGTCGGGTTTGCATGAGGTGTGTCCAGAGAATTCGCCGCACTGCACACAGCGGATCGTTGCAGGTGTTGTTGAGGACATAGTTGTTTGTTGAGTGGTTGTTGTTGCTGTTGTTTCTGTTTCCGTTGATGCTGCTGCTGTTTCTGTTGGTGGTGATGATGTTGTTGTTGCTGTTGCTTGTGTTTCTATTGATGCTGCTGTTGTGGATGTTGTCTGTGTTGCAATTGATGTCGCTGTTGTTTCTGTTGCTGTGGCTGGAGTTACTGTGGATGTTGTCTGGGATATAGTTGTCACTGGCGTTTCTGTAGCGACACTGGCTGTTCTTGTTGTTGGTGTTGCTGTTGATGCTGATGTTGTTGGTGCTGATGTTGCTGGTGCTGCTGTAGCCGTTGTTGTTGCTGAATCAAGGGTGGATAAAGGAAAACAAGCATATGTATTAGGGCGTGAATGTTAAGCAAGATTATTAGACTTCTGTTTCTTTTGCGTTCGCCTCTAATGGGGCACTTGGTAGCGTGTGTGTGTGGTTTTTTTTTTTTTTACAACTGGGCTGCGTTGTGGTTTACAGCCAGGCTTTACCTCTGCACACTGCGGTCCAACATATCTGAATTCAGCTAATTCTTAATCAATCGCATTCCATGCCTGCCAGGGTTGTCTCCCTACAAGGTGGGCCCTGCAACCAGTACGGGAAGGTTTTTAGACAAAGTGTTATTACAATTTTAAAAATCTTGACTGATATGAAACAGAACAGTGAAACAAAGGACAAATGTGTGTGGGTGTGTGTATGTGTGTGTGGGTGTGTTTGTGTGTGTGTGTAAACGTAATACACACAGACACACACATATATACATATATATATGTATATATATATATATATATATATATATATATATATATATATATATATATATATATATATATATATGTGTGTGTGTGTGTGTATGTTTGTAAACGTAATATACACACACACATATATATTCCATTTTCACTTTAAACTAGACATTTTTCAAACCACCTAGGACGTTTTTCAAATCAAACTTGACGATTTTCAAACCACCTAGGACCTTTTTCAAAGCAAAGTGGACATTTTTCAAATCATTCAGGACGTTTTTCAAATCAAGCCGGACTATTTTCAAACCGCTGAGGAAATTTTTCAAATCAAACTAGACGATTGTCAAACCACTCAGGACATTTTTCAAACCAAACTGGACAAAATTAAAGAAAAGATTTTTAATAGCTAAATTCGAGTATATACAGGAACACATATTACTTTATTCTTTCTGGAATGTTCTATTGCGATATCTATATATAGAGGAATATTATTTTATCCATTTTATTGTACAGTCCTGTAAAATTAGCGAAGCAACCAAAAAGGAGCAACCAACCACACAACGACGCGTATCTGTGGCAACAGCGGTGTAAGCGAACCGAACTTAGCCGATAAAAAAGGTTTTTATTAGCTTGTGTTAGTCGATGGAAAAACTACCCACAAGGCAGCTCAAGTCGCTGGTATCAACGACAACACAGCAAGAAACATCATCAGTGCTTACAAACGAGAAGGTGCCATTTCCCAGCGAGACTGCGGTGGAAACAACAAATAGAAGCTGACACCCAATGTCCTGTAGCATATTAAAAATATTTTTGAACGACATCTAGATGACACTTTAGTGGAGATACAGCAGCTAAACAAGGAAAACTGAATTGACCTGACCGTATCTTCAATTTTTAATGGCCTTAGAAAGCTTCAAATCACCCTAAAGAAGTGTCATAACAAATTTGACCGCGTCAACAGAATCACGACGATTTTAAGCCGCAAACTTCTGCTCTCGATTTCTCAGCACATGCTCCACAAGACAAGGAGAAGTGCATCTTCACTGATGAGTGTGGATTCAGTCTTCATATGCGACGGACACAGGCTCGCTCGAGGAGAGGGACACGATTAAACATAATCCTGCCCACAGTGAGAGGTACGAATCCGACGCTCGGCCAGACACTTAGCAAGGAATCCGACGCTCGGCCAGACACTTCGCAAGGAATCCGACGCCCTGCCAGACACTTAGCAAGGAATCCGACGCCCTGCCAGACACTTAGCAAGGAATCCGACGCTCGGCCAGACACTTAGCAAGGAATCCGACGCTCGGCCAGACACTTAGCAAGGAATCCGACGCCCGACCAGATACTAAGCAAGGAATCCGACGCCCTGCCAGACACTAAGCAAGGAATCCGACGCCCGACCAGATACTAAGCAAGGAATCCGACGCCCTGCCAGACACTAAGCAAGGAATCCGACGCCCGACCAGACACTAAGCAAGGAATCCGACGCCCGACCAGACACTAACCAAGGAATCCGACGCCCGACCAGACTCTTAGCAAGGAATCCGACGCCCGACCAGACACTTAGCAACGAACCGACGCTCGGCCAGACACTTAGCAAGGAATCCGACGCCCGACCAGACACTAAGCAAGGAATCCGACGCCCTGCCAGATACTAAGCAAGGAATCCGACGCCCTGCCAGACACTAAGCAAGGAATCCGACGCCCGACCAGACATTAAGCAAGGAATCCGACGCCCGACCAGACACTAAGCAAGGAATCCGACGCCCGACCAGACACTCAGCAAGGAATCCGACGCCCGACCAGACTCTTAGCAAGGAATCCGACGCCCGACCAGACACTTAGCAACGAATCCGACGCTCGGCCAGACACTAAGCAAGGAATCCGACACCCGACCAGACACTTAGCAAGGAATTCGACGCCCGACCAGACACTAAGCAAGGTCATTGAAGAAAGCATTGGGACAGTAACACAGCAAGACTGCGCAAACTATGTCCTACATATGATAATGAACTTGAAGACAGCAGCAGCAGGATTTTATTCTCAATACTTTCTTTGTTCAAAAGTATTAATTGTTGAAAACAAACTGTGTCGAGTTTGTTTTAAAAAGTGTACTATTTGTTTGGAAAATCCAATGTGGTTTTAAAAACGACTTATATGATCTGAAAAATGTCCAGTTTGATTAGACAAATTTCCTATGTGATTTGGGGAGTCGCAGTGGCGGAGCGGCTATACGTTCGTCGCGGATCGGAAGTCAGCGGGTTCTCTCCCTGGCAGAGCGGGACTTTTTTTCAAAAATGACTTTGGCTCCCATGTCGGCCCAGCCTTGAGTTGGTACCAGGTACAGTCCTGGGAAGTAAAGGCGACCGGTGTGATGCTGACGACATCACTCATCTTGTGCCGTTGGTCTATAAAATATAGGTCTAGACCTATATACCCAGCACGCCTGAAAGGCGTGGGGAATAAAGTCCTTTACTTTTGATGTTACCTACGCTTTGATTTAAACGGACGTGTTTCTCCAAGTTCTTGTGAATAGACGCTTTGAAGATTTCCTGTTTTTCTCCTTTTTTTAATCTTCTTATTTCTTCTTTGTTCACCGGCTGTAAACTCCTACGACATGCTTGTTGAGGAGGCTGTGGGTCTACTGTTTTCTACCAGAAGGGGAAGGGGGAGGAGCTGGAACCCATACAATGATGCTTTTTACTCACGTTTTATTTAAAAGTTGGAAAGAAATGTGGGGGGGGGGGGGGGGGGGGGAGTTGGGTCTTGCTACATACTCAAAAGAACACCATGTTAAAAAAGTTTTAAAACCACTGCTCATCTTCTGTTCAAATGTTAAAGCTAAGAAAAGAAGCAACCTGCTAGACAGAACATAAAATGGGAATCTATAAATAGGCAGAAACATTCGGAAGCTAGATAATTCGGTTTTTTGTTCTGTTCAAACACAAGCTCTCAAATGCCAAACGGCAAATGTCCATTTACCTAATATGTTTGTAGGCAATCCCAGGGATGGCAGCTCATCTGAAATGAAAGATAAGATGAACATGTGTCAGAGTTGCACATATTGTCTATTTCTTACTTGGTGATCAGTACAGAGCTGCACATGTTGTCTGTATCTTACTTGGTGATAAGTACAGGGCTGCACATGTTGTCTGTATCTTACTTGGTGATCAGTACAGAGCTGCACATGTTGTCTGTATCTTACTTGGTGATCAGTACAGAGCTGCACATGTTGTCTGTATCTTACTTGGTGATCAGTACAGAGCTGCACATGTTGTCTGTATCTTACTTGGTGATCAGTACAGAGCTGCACATGTTGTCTGTATCTTACTTGGTGATCAGTACAGAGCTGCACATGTTGTCTGTATCTTACTTGGTGATAAGTACGGAGCTGCACATGTTGTCTGTATCTTACTTGGTGATCAGTACAGAGCTGCACATGTTGTCTGTATCTTACATGGTGATGAGTACAGAGCTGCACATGTTGTCTGTATCTTACTTGGTGATGAGTACAGGGCTGCACATGTTGTCTGTATCTTACTTGGTGATGAGTACAGAGCTGCACATGTTGTCTGTATCTTACTTGGTGATGAGTACAGAGCTGCACATGTTGTCTGTATCTTACTTGGTGATGAGTACAGAGCTGCACATGTTGTCTGTATCTTACTTGGTGATCAGTACAGAGCTGCACATGTTGTCTGTATCTTACTTGGTGATCAGTACAGAGCTGCACATGTTGTCTGTATCTTACTTGGTGATCAGTACAGAGCTGCACATGTTGTCTGTATCTTACTTGGTGATCAGTACAGAGCTGCACATGCTGTCTGTATCTTACTTGGTGATCAGTACAGAGCTGCACATGTTGTCTGTATCTTACTTGGTGATCAGTACAGAGCTGCACATGTTGTCTGTATCTTACTTGGTGATGAGTACAGAGCTGCACATGTTGTCTATATCTTACTTGGTGATCAGTACAGAGCTGCACATGTTGTCTATATCTTACTTGGTGATCAGTACAGAGCTGCACATGTTGTCTGTATCTTACTTGGTGATCAGTACAGAGCTGCACATGTTGTCTGTATCTTACTTGGTGATGAGTACAGAGCTGCACATGTTGTCTGTATCTTACTTGGTGATCAGTACAGAGCTGCACATGTTGTCTGTATCTTACATGGTGATAAGTACAGAGCTGCACATGTTGTCTGTATCTTACATGGTGATAAGTACAGAGCTGCACATGTTGTCTGTATCTTACTTGGTGATAAGTACAGAGCTGCACATGTTGTCTTTATCTTACTTGGTGATCAGTACAGAGCTGCACATGTTGTCTATTTCTTATTTGGTCATAAGTATAATTTACATTACGACCCAGAATGACTTTAGTTGAGTTGAGTCAAGAATTGACATCGCAGCACTCGAGGCATTCCAATGCATGCTCCGTTCTTATCTTCAGCAGCCAGTGCAGAGTTCCAATACTGATGGTACCGATCACAATCTGGTAATATGTCCGTCTTGCCTTTCCTCTTAGTGTAGTGAGCCGGCCAGGCCCTCTGGATACACACAGATGCATCATTCTCTCCAGGCCATAATCTTGTTTCTCTACTGATTCCGTTGCTTGTTCCCAAAGGGTCTTGACCACATCTGACTTGTCCCAGAAGAAGCTGCTTACACTAACAGTAAGTGACATTCAACCCCACCAGGACCGCACAATAAGCAATTAGCACCCGATGACTTAAAGTGCCACTATGTGGATGAGAATCCCCCAGGCACAAATAGCAGAAACCCGTTCCGTTGCTTAGCTACTAAAAAAAAACACAAAATCGTCACGTTCCACCAGAATCCTCAAAGGATGAGCTTTAAGTTATAATTGTGACTAGGTTATGTGTGTCACATAAAATGTCTTAGCATTGCTGGCCACCATGTAGCTTGCAAAAGACTCCGGCAGTGCTGATGCTATCAAAAGAGACAGACCCAAAAATTGTCCAGACAGGCGACGAAGTCGTCTATCTGCCAGCCAATTGTAGATCCGGTCGCCAATGTGAGTAGAAACCCCGTTCAACTGTTAGGTTACATTTGGGCCCCCGACGAAAGCCGGGGTGGTGATTAAACTAACAAAACTAATTGCGTCCCATATTGAGCCGGATTTTTTAGAGTTAGGGCGACTAAAATTATTTAGATCAATTAACTACATTGAGACTTTTTTTAGAAGACTGGTGAAAAACAAAAGTACCTTATAATGAATCTAATCAATTTTCACAAGACTTCTTAAAGTTTGTACAGAATATCACTGTATGCAATTTGACTACTATGGTCTATGATATACAAATTAAAAATAATAAACATTATTAAAGCAATGTGTGGATGCTCAGAGTGTGCAGTGCGAACGTATGATGGTTTAAGTGGATTGGCTTGCAATTGAAACCGGTGTTAAGCAGTGATGTATATTATCTAACAGGTTACTTGGTATAACTATTGACTAGGTGATGAAAATATGTTATGTTGGCAACACGGGAACTGACCTGGTCGGAAATCCACAGCTGGATGATCGTGAATTGGCTGATAATATTTTAAACGCATGACCAAAATGTGGAACTTTAAATTATTATTTCTATTATAACTATTCCAAGTTACCCTGGTAAGTCACATGACTGTGAACTTCCGGCGATTTGACAACAAAGCTGGTCGCAAGATACTTTTTTTCGTGTTTCTGTGAAGTTTATCCATTTTTTTTTTTTTTAATGCTTTATTAAAAGTAGGTAATGTAAAGAAACCTTTTTCCACGCTTGAAGACGTATCAAGATAAAGGGCTAGCCCTATATTTTATAGACCGATCGGCACTCTGTGGCTGATGGGGTCTTCATCACACACCGGCCGCCTTTGCTTCTCAGGACTACCGTTTGATAGCCATGGCCATCTTTGTAAAAAGTCTGGCTCCATCAGGACCCGAACCCACGACTTTCCCATCTGCAGGCCAGCGTCTAGCCGCTACACCACGGGAGTTTCCTTGCTTCGCTATACGTCGATGCAACTCTTTAGTAACACACCTGATGGGATGCCAAGCAATAACGTGTGCAATGTCCATGCTTTGTCATTCCTTTGTGGGATTCAGTTTTTCGTTATTTGAAGCCCTACTCTGGCTCTTGCCAGGGGCCGCAATATAGCACGGCCATAAATATGGTCTAATGGCTGAACGCTGGAATCTCTCCACGGGTGATCCTTTATATGGTGGCACTTTGTGTCATCGGGTGTTTATCGCTTGTGTGATGTCCTGCTGTGGTAAAATAAGATAGAGTTTACACCTATCACGAGATAGGTGTACAATGTATTGTTTGTGTCCACATTATTTAAATATAAAATATATATCTTCAATTCTAAAAGCTCTATGTTCACCGGCTTTAAGCTCCAGCGGAAGTTCTGGTTGTTCGTCCACCTCTGGACTTTAGTCTTGTTCCAGAGCCGGAGTGTTGCATGCACATCCGTTTTACAAATCTGTCGTTTGTGTATGATGAATGTTTATTCCTTGCCTCTCTTCTTCTTCTTCTTCTTCGCGTCTATCAGCTGTAAACTCCAGTGGAAAGTTCTGGTCGTTCGTCCACTTCTGAACTGTAGTCCCGTTCCAGAATTTGAGTTGCATGCGCAACCGTTTTACAGACCTGACTTATTGGGGTGCAGACTGTTGGTTCCTTGCCTCTCAGGCATATGCACTTTGACTTTGAAGCTCTAAATTAGTCGACTCATACGACATGTTTTGTGTATGTGTGTGGGCAGTGGGTCTATTCTTGTTTTCCGTATATATTAGGGCCCCGGAACCCACACTGGAAACCGTGCCTCTTAAGCAGATGCACTCTGACTTCGAAAGAAAGCCCTCAGTTAATCGACTCTTACAACATGCTTTTTGGAGCAGCGCTGGGTCTATTCTTGTCCCCCCACCACCCACCTACTCCCACAATGGGGCCCCGTAAAGAGATAAGAAGAATTCAAACATTATTTCAGCTTTTAACTTTTGATAGTGAAAGTTAAAACGTTACTAAAGATATGGAAAGAAAGATTCGAAAACAAATACCTGAGCCGAAGGACGAACATTAGAGGTGGGGGGGGGGGGAATTCAAGGGGATTGAAGTAAAAAGAGAACAGTCTGAGCAACAGTTGGTTTCAATAGTTATACGACAGAAAACTGGACACATTCTGAGGGAAAAAAAAACGAACGCACATTTATGGATAAGTGCCCCCCCCCCCCCCCCCAAACTTTTTGTCCCCCTCCATCCTTAACCTCGTGTTTTCTCTGGAAAAAAAAAACTGCTAATGACGATCTTTGGGGATTTGGTTAATGTTACAGTCGTGAACAAAACGATAATTTGGTCAATATCACTAAATTTCCTGGTAAACATTGTCGGGTTGATTTGACCTGGCAACCCTGCTCTCTCTCTCTCTCTCTCACACACACACACACTCACACACACACATACACACACTCACACACGTCCACACACACACACACACACACACACACACACACACAACATATCCTCTATTTATAAGTGCTGCCTTTTAATTATAAAGGGAGATAATAAAAGTAGCGCTATTAATTATCTTGTTTAGGATCACAGAACAACGAACGTTATTTGGTAAACGAATCGCAGACAGAAAGTAACACGTTGATCTGTAAACATTGTAATGTGATCTTGCAGTAAACAAACAGCAGAAAACCGTTGAAGAGGGGGGGGGGGGGGGTTTGTTCGTCATGTAGCAACCGAGCATTTCACAATTAATGAAGAATAAAAATCAAGGTTTTTGAATTTAAATATTATAGAAAGTTCTCAGAAAACAGTCCTTCATGACAACATGCGCTCCACGTGACACATCCCAACAGCACACGAACCGTTTTATGGTGGCCCAATGTAACTGTGCTATATCCGTTACGGTTGAACTGGATTTCTGTGATTTTTTATCTGTGTGATTCTCATTCTTAAGATGTTAATCATACAGAATGCAAATATAGAAGGAAACACACACACACACAC